CACACACTCCAAGAAAGGGGACAAGTGGAAAGGAAGAAAGAGGGAGAGAAGGGGCTTCCTTCTGTCCATTGGCCAGACTTTGCAAAGTGTGAGTTTGGCACCATATAATTTAATCACCATGGAAACTTTCACAGGCCACCAGGGAGAAGTCAGTCTGTTCAATAAGGTCATGAATGCAAAGATGTGCACATCACCTGACACTCAGAAGTGGTACTGGGGACAGGTGCCGAGGCCTCGTGTAACGTTCTGAGCCTGCAACAGTGACAAGGCTCAAAACCCCAAGTATAACAAGGCACACAGTGGGAAATATTACCTCCCCTTGCATCCCGTGCTTTCCCAGGTGAGCATAGCTCACATCTTTCCTCTGGCCTTGGTGGCTGCACACACAGGCACGTGTGAATGTATATTCTGATCTTATACAAACATCATGTTTTACACAGTGGCAGATCCTTGTTTTCTTCTAGATCTTCCAGATCTTTCTACACGTCTGTCCACTAGTTTTTACAGCGGTATACTATTCCACAGAAGGCTGTACTTCTGTGGCCTCTATTTAACAAACACAGGAAGTTCAGTGTCCCCTGCCAGGCCTGGTTCCCCATCTGCCTATATTTCCTCAGGATGAGGTCCACCTTGCCTCTAACAGGGTCTCAGCAACAGTGTGGCACTCCTATAGATGCACAAAACCTCTGTATCTGAAAACCAGCCAGGATATTTTTACAGAGAACTGCATCTTTCGGTTCCCCAGTTCAAAACTTCCAGGAACTTGCCAAGCATGGTGGCACTCACCTTTAATCTCAGCACTCCAAAGACAGAGGAAGGACGATCTCTGTGAGCTCAAGACCAGCCTGGTCTACACAGCAAGTTCCAGGCCAACCAGGGCTATAAAGTGAGACCCTGTCTCAAAAAAGGGGGTGGGGAGAAAAGATGGTTCAGTGGTTAAGAGCACTGGTTGCTGTTGCAGAGGACCTAGGCTCAGTTCCCAGAACCCACATAGTGGCTAACAACTGTCTATAACTTTAGTTCCAGGGGATTCAAGCATGGTGGCACTCACCTTTAAGCTCAGCACTCCAAAGACAGAGGAAGGACGATCTCTGTGAGCTCAAGACCAGCCTGGTCTACACAGCAAGTTCCAGGCCAACCAGGGCTATAAAGTGAGACCCTGTCTCAAAAAAGGGGGTGGGGGAGAAAAGATGGTTCAGTGGTTAAGAGCACTGGTTGCTGTTGCAGAGGACCTAGGCTCAGTTCCCAGAACCCACATAGTGGCTAACAACTGTCTATAACTTTAGTTCCAGGGGATTCAGTGCCCTCTTCTGACCTCTGTAGGCATTGCATGCATGTGGTTCACTTACATACATGTAGACAAAACACTCCTACACATAAATAAAATAAATAAATGCCTCAAAAAAAAGCCTTCCAGGAACTTTTGAATTCCCTGCTACACACCTCCCCACACCACCTGTCCCACTGTCCCCTTCTCACACAGCGGCTATACCTCCTCCCTTTTTCTGTCCCTCAGACATCAAGGGGGACCCCACCCTAGGCTTCTCCCCATTGCCACTCCAGCTCAGCTCAAAAATTCCTCCTTACCAGGCACAGTGGCACATGCCTTTAATCCCAGCACTTGGGAGGCAGAAGCAGGTGGATCTCTGATTTCCAGGGCAGCTGGAGCTACAAGGAGGCCCTGTCTCAAAAAAAAAATATCCCTCCTCAGAGACCCCCTACAAGCCTAGTCTACACAGCAAGTTCCTGCCAGCTTGGTCAACTCTAAGCCAGCCAGGGCTACATAGCGATATTTTGTCTCAAAACACCACAAACACACACACACACACACACACACACACACACACACACACAGAGAGAGAGAGAGAGAGAGAGAGAGACAGAGAGACAGAGAGACAGAGAGACAGAGAGACAGAGAGACAGAGACAGAGAGAGACAAAGAGAGAACTCCAGACCCACCTGGGAATGTGCCTGGCTGGCTTCTGCTTCTCCACAGCAAGTATGCCTGTCTGAATCTCCCACCTCATCCCTCCAGCTAGATCAGCTGCACGAGAACAGCACCTGCCTGTGTTCCTCATGAGCTCCCCACCTGAACTTGACCTGGACAAGAACCACCAGGCATCCAAAATGCTCAACAGCTATCCCCATCTCCACCTCCTTACTGCAGGCTTACGAGCACTGGAAAGGGCCAGAGCACCCACTGGATAGAGGACACTGAGGCCAGGAGTGGCCCAGCCCCAGGTTCTGTACCACTTCCCCAGCAGGAAAGGAAATGAATGGCCACGGCTGCCCTCTCCAGGAGGCACGAGGTAGAGTCCCATGACCCAGGGACAGGCAGCCATGCGTCTCAGGGGTATTTAGCATACCTTAGCATATGTCTCCATCAGACACATGCAGATGGCAGATGAGAGGAGGGCCACAGAAACTGGGGGCCTTAGAATTGCACAGTGGTCGCTAAACAGTGCACCACCTGTGAGACAGCTGCCTGCAGGAATGAGAACCTTGGCTTGCATGGTGCCCTGTGAGGCATCATGTTTGCCAAGACCTGGGGTTAAGAAAAATAGGCCCACAGCTCAGCCTCTAAATTTAAGGTGCAAGGCCAGCAGGTGTCCAAGAGGATATTCCTGGATGGTGTCATGGATTCATCCAGACTTGGTAGTCCCCATCTGGTGGTCACAGGGGTCACAGTGAAGCTGACCATCACACTCATCAGGTGCCCTAGGAAGAATCCTAAAGGCCATGCAGGCCAGCCTATAAGCAATCTTCCTTCTGGGCCCTGAATTCAGCTCCACTGAGATCCCACAGAGCAGTTTCCCTGCCCTAGTCATTCCAAAAGCACTTATTGAGCATCTACTGTGTGTCAGCTCTGGCTGTGGGAGGTTTGATACTCCAAGGTCACTGACACCAAGTCTCCCCACTCTCTCAGAGTTCAATGGCAGGAAGCGGGGAGAGAGCTCTACTCCAAGGTCTGAAATCTTCACTCCCCCTTGCTTGCTAGAGACACTTTCTGAGCCTCCCCTCCCCGTGTGTCAATCAAGGGCATGAGTGTGACTTCAAAGAGTGGCCATCTGGAAGGATCTGGGAAGAAAGTGATGAGTAAGGCCTAACTGAAGTCTAACATGAGCTCCCATCTTCCTCCTGTGGGGAACCCAGGCCACCATCCTTTGTGTCCAGCACAAAATGTCTGCCCCCAGCACAAGCCCTGGACACTTACACCTCTGAAGTGACAAAGGTCCTGGATGGTAGAAGGCTCACCTATGGCTTCCCTGGCATGGTGGGGGCCAAGCCTGGGCCCACCTGTGAGGTGGCAATGCGTTCAAATAGCCACAGCCAATGCAAGTCTCAGAAGGCCAGGCAAGAGCCCAGAAGGAGTGAGAAGGCCCAGTGGGGACTACGACCAAAGGTGTTCCCAACCCATCCCTAAGAGTGGCAGCCAAGCAGTATGACTGGATTCTGCCACAAGGATATATGAGCTCCAAGCCATCAGAGCTTGTGATTTTTGAAGAGAAAAGGGAAATCCGGACTTTCATGTGAAAGCTGCCAGTTTGTAAATGCTGGCAGCTAATTAAATTTTTAAAAAATAATAATAGCATATTGGGAGCCAAGTAAAACATACAAGGCCAGTCACAGCCAGAGCTGGCAGGTCTGTGCCTCCAGATTCAGATGCTTTCTTCACAACAGACAGAGGGGTGGGTGGGAAGTCAAGAGGGCACCCCACCCTTGGCAACAGCTCTCATCCTGCTTTTCCTCCTGGGGGCATTGCACCCCCAAGTGGTACCTAGGAAGGTGTGGCCCAGAGCTCCAGTCATGCAATCACAAACACACATCAGCTCCATGCCAAACCAGGGAGTCCCCTGCTGCCATCCAAGTCTACTGGGCTCCCTGGGGTGAGCATGCTCTGAGCAACAAGTACCCACACGACACACTCCTTTTCCTCTCTCTGACTGTCACACAACATCTACCCGCTCAGACCAGCTTCTGGCTGGTCCCAGTGCTCATCACAAAGGAGGGATGGCACCCCTGCCCAGGAGACTGTGTGGGGAGGGAAGGGGTGGGTAGAGGGAAGGAGCAAGGGGTGGTGAGGAACCACACCCACCTCTGAAGGCTGAGCCCCTCCTGAGGGCCCCACAGCCACCCAGGCCACAGAAAAGTGTCTGAGCCAAGAGCAACACCAGCAGCCCCCTCCCTCCCGAAGGCTGCAGAGAACTACACCCACCCTACCCAGGAGGACCTCAAGTGCTGAGGACCATGAAGCTGTCTGTACACCTGATTGTGAGGCCATCTGTGTCTTCAGGTCGGTGACAGACACAGACCTGTGTGGGACACGTGTGTAGCATTTGGGATGGAGATAAGCATGATACACACCAGTATGGGGCCAACCTTCCCATGTCTGTTGGAATCAAACGTTTAACAGCAACATTCTGCGAGCCTGAGGGATGCCTGTGTTCAAGCCTGGTGTGTATGAAGCATGCGTGTTCTAAGGGATGCGCAAGAGGTGAGTGTGCCCAGCCCCTGTTTGAGAGACTCTGAACTGGGTGGCTCGGTGCCTCTGCAGAGCGTGCAAGAACTTCTGGCTTGAGTGAGAGTGTGTGTGTGTGTGTGTGTGTGTGTGTGTGTGTGTGTGTCAGTGTGTGAATGGGGGAGGAGTGGTAGTGTGTGACTGGGAGTGGGGTGGTGGCAGGGGTGGTGCCTGAGGCCGTAGTCTTCTATGTTCTGAAGGGGGTGACTCTGAGGGACCCTGGAGAACAAGGTTGGAGGGTGAGGGACCTGAGGGACGCAGCCCAGGGGTCAGGAGGATCGGCCCTCGCCGGCCTCAGTGCCCGCATCTGTGCAATGGGGCCCCGCCCGCCACCCTCGTCCGGGAGAGCGAGAGTCCGCGCCGCGAGGCTGGGCAGCGCGGGGCGTCCGAGCTCCTCCTAGCGGTCTGGGCCAAGCGCCCGGGTCCGAGAGGAAGGGAGGCCCGCGGGGATGGGGCAGGGAACCCGGGGCCCGGCACTCACCGCGGGGCAGTCGGTCCTTGCAGCCCGCCGTCGGCGCGTCGAGAGCCCGGGAGTCCGGCTGCGCGGGCGCCGGGCGGGGCGGGGCGGGACGAGCCAAGCCGTCCCCTTAAGGCCCCGCCCTCCCCCAGACCCGGCCCCTCAAAGCTCCGCCTCTGGGCGGGGCCTCAGCGCCAGCTCAGTCTGCGCCAAGCCCCAGCCAAGACAGCCTAGTGCATTGAAGCCAGTGGACCCCAAGCTCCCTAACCCCGACACCCTCTCCGCACCCCCCTTCTCTGGTTTGGCTACGCGTGGTGCTGCTGCAGGGCTGGCTGGGGAGGTGCTTTTGCCGGGCTCCCTCTGCCAGCCTGAGCCTCAGCTTCCCCTCTTGGACCCAACACCCTTAGACACACTGTGACTGCTAAAGGAGGCCAGGTGTAAAACTCCCAAGAGAACGACCTGCAGAGACCAGACACAGGTGCACCCCGACACTCCCACCTGGCCTGCCTGCCGCCCCCGCAACTCTTCACACTCCCACCTGGCCTGTCCTTTTTTAAAGCCCAAGTCTACTGCATGTACCATGATGTGGCTTGACCAAAGCCCTTGACCTCTCTGGCCTAACCTCTTCTCTTGTTTGGTTAACATTCCTGTTAGTGGGAAGATGTGTTGGCCACCACACAGGACCTGACAAGCAGTGAATGCTCTGTAAGCTACAAACTCCATACATCTCATTACTAGGTCTCTGATTCCCCATTCACTGACTGAGGCCAGGATCCCAGTGTCTGGTTCCTACTGGTCCCCGTCAGGGGGCACAGAGCCTGTGCATGCTATGAAGCAGGCAGTAGACAGGTGGCAACCTCCCATGTCCTTCTCCCTGACAAGGGCAACCCTCCCCCAAACCCATCCAAGCAAAGCCCAGGTCGTGCCAGACCAGGGTGAACATTCCCTGTACCAGGGTGTCCAGGTATGCCAGAGCCCATGGCCCTGCAGGCCTGACTGGCTCAGGAGCCTCACACTCAGCTCCTCAGCAGCAATGATTTAGCTTTACAGAGCTATCCAGGTCCAACACTGTCCCCTCACCTCTATCTATGTGGCTGTTTCTATTGCATCTTGGTCCCTGTCACTGTGATTCAAACTCTGTACTCTCAAGTGTCTCATTCAGAGGCTCCTGCACCCCACGTACACCTCATTTCTCACTCTTTACTGCCCTGTCTCTCCAAGTCTCCATCTCTGTTTGAATGCCCATCAGGTCTTCAGTATGCTCGGATTATTCCTCTTGTTCTCAGCACCTTCCAGACTCTGTCTTTTAGTCTCTGTGCCCCTCTTGTCCATGGGCCTCATTGTGTGGAATCCAAGATTTCAAACCACCTCTCTTACCTGACACATGACCCCACAGCCATTACCCTGAATGCTAGCAGCAGCTCTGGCCTAAGAGTACAGCCCCATCCTCTCCTCAAAGGCCTCTGCAGCCAACCAGGCCCAACACTGTCCCCTCACCTCTGCACAGAGAAGGAAAGCCACCTGTCCAAGGTACACAGTCAAAGCCAGAAGAAGCCAGAGACTCACAGAGGAGCCAGGATGGGATGTGGAGGCCAAAGCCAAATGGAGAGGTCTAGCCCAGCCTGCCTCAGCTTTCTGTCCAAACCTGGCAAGTCCTCACTCACTCCCTGGTCCCTTTCCACATTAGCACATAGTCTCCCTTGGGACCTTTGCATGTGCTGTTCCCTCTACCTGAAAACATTTCCACCTAGGAACCCAGGGCTAGCTCATCCTTGCTTTGAAATATAACCAGATAAGCCCTCTTGGAGACCCTCAGCAGAGCCACTCTGCCCTGAGAGTTGGCTGTATTCTCTCTAAGTACTTGTCACTGGCTACTTTTTAAAGATTCATTGATAAATGACTATTGGTAGAGTAACTTGGCAGCCAAGAATTCTACCACATGCCAGCTGTGTGACCTTGAGCATGTCACTTCCCTCCCTTGACCTTGACTTATTTCAACTGTAAAATATGCCTAGGGATATCAAGACCTAGCTCAAGAATTGAATTGAAACCCCAAAGTCCCAGAGGGGAGTGCTCTTTAAATAGCTCATGAGCATAAACAACACAAATTAAATCCTTCCTTCTTCCAAGGGCTGGAAGGCACCAGCATGGGCCCCTTCCCCACTACAGGTCCTAGGACCAGGGAGGAAAGGCAAGGAGCCAAACTGAGACTCAGGCCACAGACAAGGAGCCCCAGGCCTGGCTGCCTTTCTACCAGATAAAGCAGAGGCCCTTCCCTACCTCCGTTATTTGAGCCAGAGATGCAGCCAGCCTCCAGTGCTGCAAGGACTCTTATCACACACAGAGCGAGCATCACCCACCAGGAATTTGGAGTCTGGGTCTGGCTGACACACAGTTGGAGGAAGTTACAGGCTGATAAGGCTGAGACAGAGTGTCACTGGGGCAGTGGTGTTATTTCAATCTGTGACGATCTCACAGGGCTCCCTGGGCACGAAGACGCCAGGCCCAGGGAGTATGGGGCTCGCTTGCACCACCTCAATGGTGAGAAGAGAGACTTCAATGGCCTTTTGAAGGGTTGCACCCACACTGGGTGGCCTCAGGGAGACCACTGCCCTCTCCAAGCCTCACATCAAAGGAACAGTAACTGGAACCCCAGGAGATGCCACTTGAGGGTTTCGGGGAGGGGTGTACTCTGGAACGAGATGGCCTTGCCTGAAAGTCCTCTCTGAGTGGCCTTTGGCTTTCCTCTCTGGCCTCATGTCCCCATGTTAAGATCGTGTAGAAGATGCTCAGGGCCACTAGTGACTGGACGTTGTTGTTATTGTATTCATTACAAACCTAAATTTGAGGGAGAAAGGTTGTGGTGATCTGTGTCTCTGATAATCAAACTTGGAGGGAAAAAAAGCGACAATAGGGGCTCAAATCTCCCTGATGTCCCGGTTCAGGCAGTATAAGACCAAGACTTCCATCAGAAGCTGTCCTCCTGCCTCTTGGGGCTGGTGTGACTCCTGGCCCCCAACAGTGGCTGTGCACAGCTCCTGCTCGCTCCTCATCACCATTTGTTATGCCTCCCCTTCAACATTGCAGCCACAAAGAGGGAATGTGTGTCAGCTAGGTCCCCAGCTGCAGGGGAGAAAAGGAAAATGATGTTAGGGTCACTAGGACTCTTCTGGGGGTAGTGTGCTGTCTCCCTGTTCCAGAAAGGCTCTGCTGAGGCCTGGATGTTTGGAGTGTCACCCAGGCTCCTGGTGAGGGGATGTGGTCTAGAGGGTGATGATGTTGAGGTGGTAGCATCTTCAGGAAGCAGGGCCTGACGGAGTGTGGTTAGGTCATGGGGGCTCCACCCTTGGATGAGATTAATGTGCTTCCCTCAGGCTAGCTCAGTGCGTTGTTATAAAGAGTGAGCCTGCCTGGGCCCCAGCTCCCAACCCCCTGACTGACTTCCTGGCTCAACACATGATCTGTCTCCACCATGATATGGTGTGGCCTCTCAAATCTCCCAGACTCTGAGCTAAATAAGACTCTTTTCTTCATTAAGCACCAGCCTTGGGGATTTTGTTGAGCAGCAAAAATTGAACAGAGATGGCATTCAAAGGTGACGGGCAGCGACTTTCAGAGACTGACCCACCAATCCACAGGTGGGAGGACCCCCTGCCATCCTGCAGCCCCACACAGCAGCATGTCAACCCTGAACTAGAATCCTTGGGGAACTTTGTTTGTTTGTTTGTTTGTTTGTCTGTTTAAAATACCAATGTCTAGACTTCCTCCACTGGTTCCTTCAAACAACTACGTCCATATCTCTAGAGGATAGAATGGGCATCTGAATTCTCAGAGATCACCCCCTCCCCTTGTTAACCATAAAGCACACCGCTGCAAGGCAGAGGGCCTCTCTTGGCCTCCACCTTCTCCCCAAGGGGTGAGGAGTCTGTGGAAACAAGGAGACAGACCACCTGGAGCCCTTGAGGCCTCACCTGGCCTTCTAGACAGTGGTGTGCCAGTGCCTGAAATTCCTGCCTGTGCATGTCCCTCCTGCCTCCTGCCTCCTCCCAAGAGTGGCTGCACCGCCAGTCTACACAGGCCAGAGCCCAGGGAGGCCAGAGCCAAGAGTTGGCAGATGACATGAGGGAGGCTTTGACACAGGGGCCCAGCTCAATTCACCTCTGATCTGGATCCCCACATCTGTAGTGCTTCACCTACCCGTATCCCCATCCTCAAGGCCAGAACTGTCGTCTTTGCCCAGTGAAAAGGTGGTTAGCCACTCTGGGAAACATCCCCACCTCTCTGCCCTCCATCCTGAATCTGTTCCACCCAGGTAGCCCCTCTCCACCTGGGGCAGGAAGTAGAGCCCTCCCCAGTATTAAAGCGGAAGCCATCTAAGAAGTTCATATGGACACATGCACCTAGCTAAGGATGCATTCCCTGCTGCCCCACAACCAGGCAGGACCATGAATGTTTGGACCAAGAGAGGGGAGGAGGAGCCATACAGCCAGCTTCAGGTAAAAAGATGCCTGCCCCTTCCTTTCCCTTCCTGCTGGCTGGACACAGGTGGTGACCTGCTTAAATGGAAGGAGCCCTTGGGTATCACAAGTCAATTCACTTGACCCAGTTCTTCACTTGGAAGTGCACTAAGCCACAACTCTCTTTGTTATAACAGCCTAACCTGTACCTAACTAACCAAGATCTCTGATTAGAAACCCCAGACACACTGTACACATAAATCTCTCTCCTGCCAGCCAGGGGATGAAGCCCTACAAGACTGTGTTTCAGTTTTCTACCCAAGCATGTCCCTAGCTACCAGCCCCTCTGCAGAAGGGCTGTCTATATCCTGGACCCACGTAGTACATTCAGACAGAGAGGATCCTCCCTTTCCTGGATAGGCACCTGGCCCAGGTGTGGCCTGCTGGGGGAGTTCATCCCCAGTCTCAGTGCTGTCTCAGGGAAGGGTGGTGACTTACCGAGGGCTCTGTGTGCATAGGAGACCAGAGCAGACACTTGCTGTGCCTGGTGCTCATCAAAGACTGAGTCTATAGTGGTGACCATCTTACATATAACCTCCAGGAATGAGCAGAGACCAGCTCAGAGTCACTCAGGACAAAGGAAGACAGGAGGTTTTCTGATGGCAGACATTTAAGCAGTGAAACCTAGAGCC